TCTTTTTTTTTTAATTTATTATTATTACAGCGTTGACTATCGGAACATTTTACGTGATTTTTCTACCACGCCTACACTTTTTTTCTATTATGGGATGCATATTTTKTTGAAATTTCTTTTACAACTGATAAGCGGTGTTGCATTATTGTGTTTGATTTAATTTTTATGGCGAGGTCAGCGATGACAGTCGAGACGCTTTAGGCCATTTTATGATCATTTGTTCCTTCTAAGTACGGATGAGATTGAGAAATTTATAACGTATAATACCTAACCGTGATGATTGATTCTATTTGCAGAGATCATATAAAAATACCAAAGGTAATAGTTTATAATAGTCACAAATCCCTTTAAAGAACCTACAACGGATTTTTCGTTATTTTCTTAAAATTTTTCTATTTTCTACTTTCTTAGAAATTTTATCTTTGAATCCCACAATCTGAAAATAGTTTTCAACAAGTACTTGTGTTGTAAATTCAATAGTATTATAGAAAAAATTAACTCCTAAATAATTTTCCTTGTAATAAAAAAATTATTTTTGCATGTTCAGTATGTCGAAAATTTCTAAAAACTCTTATAAAAACATTGGTAATATTAAAAATTTATCAGAATCAATAATTACTGTAATTATGTAGTTTTACTAACAGTTGTGTTGAGGTAAACGCTGACCTCACTGCAGTTAACGTGTTAATTCGAAATAAGGAAGGTGTTACGTAAAAACGTAACGAAAGGAATGAATCTAGCAGCACATTTCTTGACACTATTCGGACAGTGAAAATCATACCACGAAGATGCAAAGGAAAGAATCATTCTTTTCACTCTCAAAACTAAGAACCTAATATAAAACTTAAAAATAACCATATGATACTTTGACTTTGGCAAATGAAATCAAATATCCTCATTATACTCAATTCATAGATAAAAGTAATTTAGGTGTTACTCGAGTCATTTTGTAATAAACTGAGTTCTTATTGTAATGTGTTTATTTATCAGTTTATTTGTGAAATTGCATCTTTTATAATTAGGAATACGAATACCGTTATCCTAATAAAAAATTGAAAATGTATAGTTTTAAGAATTCATTTTTTATTTTTACGGTTATAATTATTACAATTGTTTGATTGGAAACGTAGTATTGAAAACAATGATAAATATTACCTTTTGTTAAATCTCAAGAATATAGTTTCACCTGGTGACAAAGTACCGTTGAATTTTAAGTTAACATTTTCAACTGATACCGGTATGTCTATTTGAACAATACATTTCCTTAATATAGCCGCAGCTATTGCCTTCATTTCGATCATTGCAAATCTTTGACCTATAAAATAGAAATATTAAATAAACATATATTTTGCAGATCATCTGTTTATAGAATACTATTTCAAGAATGCATTAACATGTGGTCTTACCTATGCATCCTCTTTTCCCAAAGCTGAACGGGAGAAAACATTTTGGATTGTAATTTCCTGACAAGAACCGATCCGGATTAAATTTTAAGGGATCGGTCCAATATTTATCTTTTCGGTGAAGTGAAAATATAGAAACAAATACTTGTCAGTTTTTTGGTAATATCACATTTTCGTTCACTTAAAAAAATAAATAAATACATATTATTACTACATAAAACAGTAGGGATAACAGAAGAGAAGAATAAACAAAAAATATTTCATTATATGTAAAAATACCTTTTATATCGCCACATAGTGTTCGCCCAAAATAAGGAGCAGAAGGAAAAAGACGTAACGTTTCCTTGATGACTCGTTCCAGATATTTCATATTCTTAGCATCTTCCATTGTAAAAGGAACATACACAGGATCGCTAGAGCCGTACATATGGTACAACTCTTCGTATACTTTTTTCTGCAATCGAAAAAGCCGAATACACGATTCAAGTTTTGTAAGAAAATATAATTGATTTTTAAAAAATAATAACTAAATAGGCTTAAGTGCTGTCTGTGCGTACTTGAATGTCTGGAAACGTAGCAAGCATTAAAAATAAAAATGTAAGTGCATTAGCGGCAGTATCACCTCCCTAAAAAATAATAAAAATTGTTTTCTACTTTTAATAAATGAAAAGAAATTTTATATACTCATAAATAATTGACTCTTACTGTATAAGCCATAGTACTTATTTCTTCACGAATATCTGTATCCGAATATTCTCCTGTCTCGTAAAATGACTTAAATATAGCCTTTAAGATTGGACTGGTATCTTTTCCTTTATTTACAGAAGAATATTAATGTATTATTTATTGTTATTATAAAAGTTCCATATAAATACATTACTAAAAGATAATTTTTTAAAATGGTTATTCATACTTCCATGTAGACCATTTCCTTCTCGGGTAAAATTATCTTCTTTCATTGACTCCTTCTTTTTCCTTATAATCTTAACCAATAAAAGGTATATACATGAATTAATTATTATTTTACTTCAAACTAATATATTTTTTTAATATTAGACAATTTGAGATAGAAATGGTTTGTTGTTATTTTTACCTCGTTCGCAATTTTATTAAAGTGGAAATTAATCTCATGTAGCCGTTTTCCCATAGATRAATTGTTAAATATAATACTTGGATGTAACCAGAATTTGAATACTCTTTGTATAATTATGTCCAACCATCTAAATAAAAATAACATTCACATTAAGAAGACAAATATGCAATAATATTAGATTAAATTATAAATTAGGAATATTTATTTGATTATTACTCCGAAATATATTCATTAAGTTTAAAATCCGGATTGCTCTGCAAATTTGAATCACTTTCCAATAGGCTATCTGTCAGTATAAAAAAAACAAATTTAAGAAAATTTTACTGTGGTCATCCATATTTTTTAAACTTTTCAGAATTTCAAAATCTCACCATATACTATGTCTAATGTACACAAGTGTACGTAATGCATGAAATCTACGTTTTTTCCGTTAGTAGTTTCTAAATTATTAGTTAGTCTGTTTAAATTTTTYTCTATTGAGTCCATATAAGTCGAGAGCATTCGTTCTTTGAATAATGGAT